GCCAGACCCTTAGGGGATGTGGAGTCCAGATCCTCTCTCTCAGAGTAGAGAAATGGAGATGCAGGAAAGTTGGCCCTGGAGAGTGGGAGGCTCGGGAGACTGAGGCCACACTTCTGGTCTTATTCAAGCTTTTCCTGGCAGGACCACCTTGCTTCCTCATCCCTAGTCTCCCTTCTGACATATTGGCCAAACAGTGGGCATTTTCTTCCTCATGTGCCCCTCCAAGCTATCCTTTGCTTTAACTGTCTACTTCCCACATTTGCTCTCTCCCTGTGTTGTGGGTATAAACTATGTGTACAGAACCCTGTACATGTGCGGGTCTTTTTCTCTGAGGCTATGAGGAAATCTTTTCTTTGGGGGTGTAGTCCAGTTCCTCTATCAGAGGGAAGAAGGCAGGGGTGAGTTGAAAGGCTTGAGTGGAGGCCTGGATTCATACCCTGATGCCTCAGACTGAAGGTGCTGGAGGGCTCAGCCAGACACTGGATTTTGTGGCCCAGCTCATGGCCAATGGAGAGAGCCTCTTATGGATGAGGGCTGGGTGGGGCCCTGGGAACGGATGCAATGGGGCTTTGGCTCTTGGCTCTGCTACGGATTTGCCATGTGTCACGAGGCAGATCATAGCACTTCTCTGAGCCTTGGTTTTTAACCATCTATGATGGTAGTGCTTACCTTTCTTGGGGGTTGTGAAGGGTCAAAGAATGGCTATCATGTGGCCAGTGGGCAGTGAGCTCTTGGTAACTGCTCGTGGTTATTTGATGTGTCTCCTTCCTCTGTGCCTTGCCACTGGGTTAGATCTATGGCAAGGTCTAAGAAACACTCAATGAGCACTAATATAGCAGGGATGAGTGGAGAATAACAAAGGAGGGGGTAACAATGCTCCACAAGCAATGTACTCATTACCTTACTCATGCAACTATAACCCCTCTGTACAGCATCTTTACAATAAAACAATTAAAAATGAGCATTAATTTGGGAGGGATGCAAGGTCTAGGGGGATGTCCTCCCCTCCTCTATTTCTCTTGTTTTAGCCTTAGGGCTGGAAAGAGAGCCAGGGTCCTCAGTGGAAGGGCAGGGGAGGGCTCCCACCTAACTTCCTACACTGGCGTTTCTGCTATGTCACCAGACATAGCCCAGCTCTGCACCTGCTCAGGAAAGCTCCAGGACAGCTCTCTGCTTGGAGTGGTTAAATGGTTGCTATCTGGAACTAGAGGTCCCGGAGGGAAAGGAACATGTCCCTCCAGCAGTGGCTGAGAGGCCAGGAGTGTACTATCTGTCCCAAACACTATCGATACCTGTGCCTCAACCTCCATCTCCTCCAGCCCGGTTCCCACCCATGAGCCACGGGTTCCTTAGCAACCCTTTCCCCTCCCACTGTCACCTTCTCCCTCCAGTCACCTGTCAATCTCATCTGGATGTAGCCAGACAGCGGGTGGGTTTTGAGTTCCAGCCAGGTCATGTCTAACCTAGAGACCTTGAGCAAGCTCCTTTCCCTCTTTTGTGCTTGTGTCCTCATCTATAAACTAGGGATAGGGACTCCTGCCTCCTGAGAATCTTGGTAGAACACAAGTATTGAACTCGTAGTCAGGGAAGCCAGTGGGTATTGCCTGTTAGGGCAATTTCCTTTTTTTTTTACAAGTAGGGAAATACGGGCTCAGAGCTGGTGGTGTATTGACTGAAGCTCACACAGCAAACACACGGTCAGACCTCCAGAAGCCCCCCCCACCAACTTATCTAGGGAAGTTTGGTCCCTTCAGGTATGAGTTTCCTTTTTTGGCCCATTTATTGTATTTATAAATTTTCTGTTTATCCCTAGAAACTATCTCCTTGCCCCCTGCGGCCTGCCACCCCCCCCTCCCACCGCCCTGGCCCCCCTCAGCATCCTGACATTCTTTTAAGGGGAACACAGTGCTTAGTATGTGGTAGGTACTCAGTTAATATCGGTTGGAGACAGGTCTGGCAGGGCAGGGCAGGCTGGCATGGACAGGGAGGCGGGGTAGAGTTGGGCAAGGAATGAGCCCTGGGGCGGGGGATCAGCTAAGCATTTCCTCCAGCAGCTTCCCCCCCCTGCCCCCCACCTCCCCCCGCCCTCTCTGCCCTGCTGTGGCTGGCTGAGAAATCTCATTTTTTAGTGAGCTGATTCATGGGCTTGGCTTCTTGGTGCTCCCTGAGCAGCTTTGTCAATAACTATTCTTTACAAGGTCCCTCGATTCGTTTTGGGGGTTGAAGGCAATTTTGTTTTTTTAAAGAGGAGTTCAGTGGCATAGCCATTCCAGAGGGGCTGTTAAGTTAATGCCCCACCTTGCCCCTGCCCGGCCTGCTTCGGCTGCTGGAATTCCACCAGGGTCAGGCACTGTTGCCGTTTCTTGCAATTAACTTCCTAGTTTCTCACGTGTGGGCCAAAGGTGAGGGATGAAGAGAAAGGGACACAAATGACAGAGCCGCAGGGCCGGTTCTATTTCAATGTTTGCTGGGTGACTTTTGGCACACAGCGCCTCTCCTCTCTGGGCCCTGATCTCCAGTCCTTAAAGCAATGGCAAAAGCCATTTTAACAGTCATATCCACATCAATCCTGCAGTGGCCTGGGGTCTCGAGCCCATGCAGCAAGAAAGCTCTATCACCGTCCTAGATGGCAGTGGATAAGACCTGTCCATCTTCCCTGTGGGGCTGGGACTTCCTTGATGACAGACCCTTATGGCTTCCTGGACTCCTGGCAGAGCCTCCCTATCCCCCGCACCTCCACCCACCCAGTAGGAGTTTAATTTGTGGAATGAACAGCTCCACACTGCAAGTTCAGTCCATTCTGGACACCTCCATGGTTTCCTCCCCTCGGCCCCCAAGAAACCACAGGGGGATGCTTTGCTACATGTAATTTTCTACACTGATTAAGGGGATTCCAACTCCAAACACTTGCAATTGTCCAGTACCTGCCAATCCCCAGCACAGTGCTGGATACCAGGGGCTCGCTAAAGTGACCTGGGACCTTCACACAAGCCCCATGGTTCAGCCTTATGCAAAAACGTGTGGCCAAGTCCATTCACTGAGACCCTCCATGTAGGGCAACCTAGGGTAGGTGTGCCTGCCCGTTGCCAGATAACCTTCATACATGGGCTCATGTAACTCTCAAGAAGTCTGGGGTTGGCGTGATGGGTGGAGCTGCTGGTCTCAGAAGCCTGGCATCTTTCTGTGGTGGCCCATGGGGAAGTGTCAATGCAGTCCACCAAGAGATGGCTGCTGGCAGCCACCTTGTCCAAACTCCTTCCCCCTCAAGCTTGCAGCCTCTGTGCTCCCCACCCGGGGTTGCTATCTGTGCTGGGGCAACGATATCCAGGGCAAGGAGATACTTGTGCATGCTCCCAGGCCAGCCACAGACCACTGGCAGGGCAGGGTGCATGCATCATGCCTGGTTTGGGCCTTTTCCCACTGGTCCAACAGCAAAGGAAGAACTGAAGACAGCAAAGGAAACTGAAGATGCCCAGGTGGACATCTTAACCCTTGGCCTTCTCCTTAGTTTTCTCTGCCCTTCCTTTTTTCTACAAGTCCTGAGGCCCACTTTGAGCCAACCAATCACAGCTGACTCCTGGTTGGGGGAAGAGGAACAATTCTATGAAGGACACATTCAATAGCTCTTTCGTCTCTTATGTGGGCATCCTCATAGTACGAGAGGGGCTGAGGGTCCTGCATGGTAGAGGAAGGAAAAGCAGGACACCAACCTGCTTGGGCTAGCCAGTCATATGATATACTCTGTGTGTGTGTGTGTGTGTTTATGCCAGTCCACCCAAGGAAGAGACTGCCAATCACCAGTCATCATGTACTGTCTGATCATGGGAGCTACGGCCCCCATCCCCAGGCTGATGGCCTCCATTTATTTATGAAAAATCTGACACAGTGGTGGGTAAAACCCAAGAGAAAAGTGACTGTGTGGGAGGAGGGAGAGGAGGGCATCAGCTCCCTTCTGCCTTTGCTCACTTCACAAGAGGCCTCTGCAGTCCTCCCCGCCCCAGGGGTTGTATGTGGGGATGGGAGGGGGAGACAGTGGCTCCCTGCCCTGCCGTGCAGAGGGGAGGGAAGCAGTGGTGAGCAGAGCAGAGCTGGGCAGGCTGGGTGGCTAAGGCGCAATAGTGTTGACTTTGCTGGGGTTGGGGGCAGGCGGCACCCAGGCCTCCCTGGGCCTGCAGACCACAGTGCTTAGGATGTTTGGCCAGAGAGGTAGGAGAAACCCCTTTCCCCTTCCCCGCTTGAACCCTAGCCTGTGGGCCAGAGAGAATCCCAGGGAGACCCCAGGAAGGCGCTGTCTTCACACCAGATCGGCTCCAAGTCTTTGAGGAGTTGGGGGGGGATGGTCACCCAGAAGCCAGCAAATAACAATGACATTGCCCCCAGACCCCCCCCCCCCAAATGTTTTGTCCGCAGCAAGATCCTTGGCAAGGCAGGCAGCTGCCACCTCCCACCCTGCAGGACAGAAATCCCTGAATATTAGTTTGAGAAAAGTCTTTGTGCATCCTGTGACACAAGCCCCCTCCTCCCCCGAAGTTCCCCTCACACAGAGGGGTGGGAGGAGACAGGAGACATGGAAGGCAGGGCCGGGCACAGTGTGGATCCACCTTGCCCACCCCGAGGAGTATGGCCTCCGTGCCTGACTCTTGGGGCGGGGTGGGGAACAAGGGGTTACCTTGCATGGGAGGAGGTTTAGGCAGGGGAGAGCAAGGCCAGGCTGCTTTCCTCCAGGTCCTCCTCCACTTGGAATGGGCAAGAAGCCCGTAACCTCCGGCCTGGGACTGGATGGACAGACCAGGGAGGCAGTGGCTGGCTAGGAGCAAAGCAGTGTGTGTGGGGGGGGAGAGAAAGGGGGAGGAGAGGACACGAAGTAGAAAACCAGTTCAGCCGCCCTGGTTAGTGTGAGCTGGGAGGGCAGGGGGGGTCCCAGCTAAATCCCATCCAGAGCAGAACATGTGTGTGTGTGTGTGTGTGTGTGTGTGTGTGTGTGTGTGTGTGTGCGGTGGGGGTGTCCATAGCACCCCGGATGTCCCTTCTATGCAATCTCTTTGATTCTGCGCATGTAATTGTGCAGGTCTGGGGGAGGCGTGGGCCGCGCAGTGCCTGTCACATCGGGGCAGCTCCAGCCTAGGTCTTCTTCCTCCTCCTCTTCCTCCTCTTCCCCAGCAGGTACGGAGTCATAGGCCAGCTCCTCTGAGGGCAGTGTGGTAAACGTGGTGAACTTGACCCTCTTGCGCTTGGAGGTGGGTGAGCTGGCAGGGTCCTCTGCTTGGTCCCGGGCAGAGCCCCCCGAAGAGCCGTCACCACGCCCATGCACCTGGCTCTGCACGCTGGTCTGGGAGCTGCCGCTGCTGTGGTGGTCACCATGGCAGCAAGCGGGCACGGTTTCCAGCGGGTTACCCGTGGGTGGCGAGAGCTCACCTTGGACCCGGAGAGGCTGCCCGTTACCCAGGAACACCCAGTGGTGAGAGTGGTCCATGCTGGTCTGGCCCTCGGGGGGAATGCGCTTGTGCCGGTAACGCAGCACAAAGACAATGCAGTTGATGAGGAAGACAAGGATGGCCAGGCAGAAGACACCCAACAGTGCGTACATGCCGATCTCCAGGTCTGTCAGGCCCCGGGGCATCTGCAGGAACCCCGTGGGCAGTGGCAAGAAGTCTTCCGTGGGTAATGCTGCAGGGTTGGAAGTGCCCAGGCCAGGGGCCTCCAGGGCAGGCACCGCTGTGCCCAGAGGACCAGCTCCCCGGGCTTCGTCCTCACCCCCACCAGGCCCAGGCTGGCTGGGGCCGGGGTAGTCATATGTAGGGTCCTCCTCCTCCCGCCCGAAGTGCACACGCAACCCCACGGGGGTGGTGGCCAACACGCTCTTGCGTTTGGTTTTCTGGCAGCTCTCGGCGATGGTGAGTTCTGCCCGGAGCAGCTCCCCTGTCCCCTCGGCCTCGGCCACCACCAACGGGAAGGCTCGGTCCTGAATCACGGTGGCCACTCGCTCATCCAGACTACTCACCAGCAGCCCATAGTCCCGGGGGCTGTAAAGGGAGAGTGGAGCTGTGGTACCATCACTGTAAGATATCCAGAGACTCAGGAGGGCTTCCTGGAGGAGGAGGAGGCAAAGGAGGAGGAAGAGACTCAGAGAGAAGGTATTAAGGAGCCCAAGAGCATTATGTTGGCCTCACACTACCCCTTGAAGAGCATTCCTCGGATGACCTGATGGACTGAAGGTAAGTTATGCTGTGGGTTCAACTCAAGGCTCTTCTGCTGCAGCATCATTACACCTGATCTGGGAAACCCCCTCATCAGACTTTTGTTAATGAGAATGTACACCCACCCAGCTGTAGACAAGGAAGCAGAGCCCAGCAAGCCCACGGGCATGGGTAACTGAGAATCAGGGGCAGAGGACACACGCACTCCTAGCCTGGCACTGGCGCCCACCGATTCACTACCCCATGCCGCCCCCAGTAACTTTTCCACACTCATCCTGGAACCAGTGCCTAAGCCATGTAGAGATGGATTTAGACTTCCTGCAGGAGGCAGAGGTGATGGCATTCTGAGAGTCCAGGAGAGAGTGTTCAGCAGGAGCACCGGGACCCCGTGCAGGCCAATGCGATGGGGTAGCAGGTGTGTATCTTCCAAGACCTCAAATCCTAACTTGGGGGTTCACAGCACATGAAGTGGAGTACCCCCCTCACCCCCATCCTCTATCCATACCCCAGACTTCCTGGCTGAGTGGCTGCTTACCTGCTTGAGGAAGCTGAGGGTCTGCTGTGCGGCTGTGGTGGCCAGGATGGTATGGCTGCTCCCAGGGCTGGGCCGTAGGGAGAGGGCCAGGCTGGCCACCACCTGGGCCTGAAGCTGTGTGATGCTCACCTTCTCCTCCGTCACCGTCAGCATTGTCTCCCCCAGCACAGCCTCCGTCAACGGGGACACCACCTGGGGCATAGCAAGCTGGGGTAGGAGACCACCAGGAAAGCAACAGACCCTGTCTGTGGTCCCCACTGGGCCCAGAGTCCTATTATTAAGCTTAAAGGGCCCCAGAGGGGATGAGGCAGTGAGAGGGGGAGGAAAAGTCAGGGTTCCTGGCTCTGCCTTAGTTTGCATGTGTAAGAACAAGGGTTCAGAGGTCATGGGAGGATGGGGGGCTCATGGAAGCCAGGCAGCAGTGTGCAATGCGGCGAGCTGATCTTCAGGAAAACAACCCCAATGTCAAGAGGACAGAAGGGAGTGGTGGGAACTATGGCAGACAGGTGACCTCGTGCCCCATGTTGAGAGGGGGCCCCTCATATCAAACCTGGCTGATCATTGCCAGGTGGCAGTGGTGGCCCAATATTGCTAGATTCTTTTTTTTCCCCTCTTCTTCTTGTAAAAACCAGAAATCTAGATTATTATTTTTTTTAACGAGAGGCTTCACATGTGAAATGTTGGATCGATTATTTCGTAACTAAGAATGTTTTGTTTTCTGTAGGCCGCTCCAGCTTGTGTACAACCCTTGTGTACAACCCCTACCTAGACACCCAATAGTCAGGAAGAAAGGTCAACGTGGGGTCCCTAGCCACCGCCCTCCCCTCCAAGTTGCCTGCCTACTGACCCTCTCTATACCTGCTCTTGGAGAGGGGTCCACGTGAGTACCCTCGCCGAGTTAGGGAAGGGTTGATAAAGGTAGAGAAAGCTTGGAGTGATGGCTTTACCACAGCAAAGCTACAAAAACCTTGACCTTAAAAGGTGCAGGCAGAGGGGCAAGACTGAAGGAAGCGTGGGGTGGGACTAGTGGAGACTGCTCCTGGGAGACCAAGGCTTCTCCACCCACAGGTAACACAGCCTCCTGTGTACTTGGATGGCACCCTTTCCTACCTTGAAGGGGGTAGTGCCTGGCTCCAGGCCCGCCAGGGTGCTGCTGTCCACCAGGTGTGCCACTCTTGGGTCGCCTATCCGCATGAAATCACTGACCAGGTCTGTGACCTCCACCAGCCAGTCCGGGCCCAGCATGGTGACTACCTGATCGGTGCCCTCAGAGGATGTGGTATGGAACTGGGTGAACACCTGCAGCGTGGCATGCTGGTACTGCAGAGTGCAGCCGCGGCTGGCGCTCTGCCGCCGCTCCTCCTCCTCCTCGTCCTCATCCTCACTCTCTCGGGCTGACCTGGGGGCAGAACGGACCAAGCTCAGAGCCAGCCAGGTGGAGAGAACCTTATGCTGGCTCTAACTTGCATGAGTCATGGTCCTCGTGGTTTTTCCTGCTGGCTCCTCTCTGTCTCTCCCCATGGCGGAAGTTCAACAAATAGCACCCCTCTTCCCTGGTCCAGGTCTTCCACTGTTGAGTTTAGAGCTCTGAGAGACCTAGAGTATCTCTCTTCTTGGACCCTCCTCACTTGTGCCTGGAAATAGCTAGCATCTGACCTCTGCCCTTTCTTCAGCTCTGTGCTTGAAGCTGGTGCTGTGCTGTGCTGGGCTGGAGCTTAGGGCATCTCTGCTGTAGACACGGACAAGCACAGCCAATCGTGTCTAAAGCAACGTGGAAAGCAGACTTGTAAGTGATGAACCTGGGTGTTTAACTGAGGAGATTTCCAAGCAAAGTGTGGGAGGCACAGCCTGGTTTTCTCTGGCTGCTTGTAGTACAACATGAGAGTAGATACAACTAAAAAAATAAAAGATGAAACCATTGACGCAAAAGGGAACTTGGATCTGAAAGATTCTGGGAACCCTGCAGCCTATGCAGACTGGGGAAGAAGCTAACAACAGGAAATTCATTGCCAGGAAGGCATGCCTGAGCTCTCTTTGAGCCAGTGCTTCGTGAGTGCTTTGAAGAGATCAACCAGAATATCTGTTTGCACCGAGGGCTTTTAAAATCTGTGCTAATTATTTTCTTTCTTTATTTGGTTCCAAGAATGGAACTCAAACTTGGTACCTGATGCTTTTGCTTCTTGGCTGGTGCCACACATCCAATCCCTTTGCTATGGAATTCAATCCTCACCATAATCCTATGGGCTATTAGCTTGCTCATTCGACACAGAGGAAAATGAAGCACAGAGAGGTTATGTAAACAGCCAGTAAGGTCACATAGCTAGTCAACACCAGAGTCAGGATTTAAACCAGGCTGTCTGGCTGCAAGGGTGCATTATATCCTGCCTCTTAAAGCACCACAGCCACCACTTGGTGGATGTGAGTATTTCAGAACCACAGGCTTTGCCCCTAACCTGGCCCAGTGAGAATCTTCATTCTGTCAGGAAGTGCCGGCCATATGTAGGCTCAGTCAAGCTTGAGAGGCTCTGGTCTGTACTACCTCCACCCTGCCAATCTCTGTGGTTTTCCCATGGCCACCTGTGGCTTTCTCCCTAGCCCTGCCCCCAGTTGTCTACCATGCCCTTGCTCTTCTCCTGCATACTGACGGCACTCAGGTGTGGCAGCCTGACTCCCAGAAAGAGAGCCTGGCAATGCATCAGAGACTACACTGTGCCAGTGGGACCAGGCTGGGGCTCACCTGTTCAGGTGTGTATACTGCTCCATTTTGGGCTACCCGATTGCCGTCTCATCCAGTGTTCTCAGCCAGTCCCTTTCTACCTCTCCTTTAAGACTCAGCTCCAGGAAGTCTGCTTTGGCTTCTGATGGAAGAGGGGTTCTCATCTTCCTCTAGACGCCTTGATTCTTTGCCTGCTGGCCCTCCCACATATCACCATGCTCTGGGGCATGTGCCTTAACTAACTAGCTGCCCAGCTGGACTAGGAGCTTGGCTCACTCAGACAGTGGCCACACTCTCCCCGAACCTCAAACCCCTGTCAGTGCCTGGCACAGTGTAGCTACTCCATCAAAGTCTGCTGACTGCATAACAGATCCACAGACTGTGTCTACTGAAGGCTTCAGATTAGATGCTTCTGAGTCTGTGTCCACCTCTCCCATGTCCCGAGGGTATGCTCTGTGTGAGGGCTGTACCTGCGGTCGGGGAGGATGGGCACTCTCCAGCCTTTCACTTGGCTAAGGTGAGCGTCTGAGAGCTCAATGTCCAGGGGCAGCTTGGGGACCCAGACTGTCATCTCCAGAGGAGCACTGAGAACGTCGTAGCGAAAGGTGACTCTGGCGTTCATGGATCCCCGGGACTCCTTTCCACTCACAAACACATAGTCACAGCTGCTGGACACCTGCAGGAAGGGAGGAGCGAGTGGCACTGTGTGGCCCTTTTAGACCTCTATCAGTGAGGCCGGGGCAGGGGACTTAGATCTGACCAGCAGCAGGGCCTACAGAGCTGCTGGAGTAAAAGCACCAGCCACAGGGGGCCACAGGAAGGAAGCCAGGTAAGTGAAGGCCCTGGTTGGGGGGGGGGAGGGGTGCACCAGCCCCTGTGCCCCTGTCCCTGGGAGTGGCTCTTGGTCTCTGGAAAATAGCCAATGTGCTATTTATTTATTTATTTTTGTTGTTGGTCGTAGGGCTTGAACTCAGGGCCTGGGTGCTGTCCCTGAGTTCTTTTGAGCTCAACACACTACCACTTTGAGCCACAGCACCACTTCCGGGTTTTTTTTTTTTTTTGGTGGTTAATTGGAGATAAGAGTCTCATGGAAAAATAAAAAATAAAAAAGAGTCTTATGGACTTTCTTTCCAGGCTGGCTTCAAACTGGAATCCTCAGATCTCAGCCTCCCGAGTAGCTAGGATTACAGGCATGAGGCACCAGCACCCGGCTAATTATTATTTTTTAATTAAGTCTTGGTCTGTGGGAAACCACATGAAGGAGGCTCCCAGGGAAGAGGCATCTTGGAGAGTTCCCTAACTGAGGCTCTGAGGCGCATGGAGTCCTCCACCTACGGGGGTGCTCAACTGGACAGCAGGGAGAAGGATGGGGAGAGAGTCCAGAGAGAGGGCAAATGGTTCACTTCGGGTTCACTTCAGGCTATTGTTGGCAGGGATGGAGGAGAGGGAGTAGAAGAGGACAAGGCAGGAAGGAGACACCCAAGCACAGCCCGGTGGATGGTTGCCACCCATGTGTGCTGTTTTGACAGGCGCGTGCCTGCCTGGCTAGCAACCCCTGTTCCTAAAGGCTCCTGGGCACATGCCAGTGGAGACCAGTGCCCACTCAGTGCCAGGACATGTCTGCCAATGCTTCAGAACAGATGCAGCTGGCCGTGTATATGAAAGGTGCCCACGCACACACCTGGCATGCATTGGAGTGGAACCCCAGGTGCACACATCCACACCCAGCTCCGGCTGAAATGTGTCCCTAGGGCCCTGCCCTGACTATGAGGGAAGATCTAGAATGCAGCTGGTGGGGCTGATGATACCTCACATCTCTGCAGGGGTGGGAAGGGTGCTGGGCTCTCCACATCAAGGAGACAGAGGACAGAGGAAAGTGGAAACTGCAGCCTTGCCGGAAATGAGTTCCTTCCCAGCTTGAAGGCGGAGAATTCTGCAGGTTAGTTGTCTCCACCAAGGGCAGGAGCATATTTCTCTGGGTGGCAGAGAAGGCACAGGATGCAGGCCCATCCGGTGCTGTCCCAGCCTGCCACGGGGCAAGGTGACCCCTTTAATGAAGGGGATACAGGTGTGGATGAAGCTGTGCCCTGGCTCCCTGGAGGGCCTTCTGTGTGGATAGGTGTAGATGGGGGAGCCCCAGGCTCTTCAGACCCAGGAGACCCAGCGTGAGTGTAAGGAAGCCCAGGTAAGCAGAACAGGACCCACAGAGCCCACTTGCACTGTCCTCCAAACTGAGCGGTCACAAGATCAGCCAGCAGACCCTGATGTCTGGTTTCTGTCCTGCTGAAGGCAAGCCCACCCTATGGGCATCAGGGCTGGACACACTGTCATATCATTGCCTTCTCCACTGCCTCCTACCCCGCCGTTTAGCCTCTGACTCCTGTCCAAGGAGCAAGTCTGGAAGGGGTGACAGCCAGGAAGAGGCCCCAAGGAGCTGGAGGAGTTGAGGTGTGTGAGACAGGCATGAACAGCCTTTACCCCTAGTCTAATCCACATGCTTCCCTCGGGGCAAGCCTTTGGGAGGCCTACACCCCATATTTGACTCTCCCTTTCCTTTCTCCTTCCTCTGCTCCCCACCCACCCCCTACACCATGTCTGTCATACACCAGGCCTCTTAAACAATTTTCCGAGTTGAATTCAGGTGGTCCACACTGCTGTTTCCCTTCTACCTGCCATATTTCTACAGGAAGTGTGGAACCCCTGCCAGAGCAGGAAATACTGGGGTGATCCACCGCTGTGGGGGTGAACACAGTGAGGTGGGACTGAGAAATAATCAACCCAGGCTGGGGCAGGAATTCCTGCCCGCCCAGAGCACAGTCGGGCACATGTAGTCTTCAAGGGTGAGTAAGTTAAACTGTGTGGACTCCTCCCACTCCACCCCCTCACCCCCAGGCCCTCCCCTCCAGGAAGCTTACCTTGATGATGTCTTCATTGTCAGATTCGCACTCCACCAGGGCAGAGACATCTAGGACAAGGCCAGTCACCTCAATGGCAATGACCTTGACAGGGATGGCTACGGTGCGGCCCGTCAGGATGGCTGTGTTGATGATCTCTGTGTCCTGTAGGGAGGAGAGGAGGGAGAGGATGCTCTGTCTTCGGTCTCTTACTCTGTGGGGACCTGTCAGTCAGCCAAGACCCTAGCTCCTCGCTGTTGCTGCTCCTCAGATATTCATGGAACCTCTTAGGCTGCTCAGGTGCTCTGCCAGAAAACAGCCCATCCCCAGGCCCCGAGATCAGGACCCTCTGAGGAATATCAACATGCCTTCCTGGCCATTGAAGGGACCCTGGGCTGGTCCCAGGCAGACACTGCAGCCCTCTATCCCGCTACACTCAGTCTAAACCTCTGAACCAACTACTCAGTGCTGTGCCTTTGCCCATGGGACTCCTGTCTAGGGTACCCAGTCTAGGATATCTTCAAGCTTCAACAGCACAGATGCCTCCTCCAGGAAGCTACCCCTCCATGGGGACTTCTTCTACTTCAGCTCCTTGGCACCCAAACCAGGTGCAGAACACTGCCTGCCTCCTGTGGGTACACAGGTGCCCCTTCCCACACACTGTGCCCATCCATCCGCATGCAGGCTCGGCCTTATGAGGCCTCTTCCCACATGTGCACACTTGTGTCCAGGGGCCTGGGCACTGCCCACTCACTCACCATGGCCAGGGGCAGGATGGCTTGCACATCCCTCTGGATGACCGTCAGCTCAGTGACTGCTCTCTCCAGGTCAGGCAGGGAACCATGACCTCGGTAGTCGATGTGCCACATGATCCGCCGCTTGACTGACTGGCTGGTGAAGTTTTCCATCTCAAAGTCCAGCTGCAGGATCTCCAGAGGCCCCTGGCCTTCCCTGCAGAGCAGGGCAGAGAGAAGAGCGGGTGAAGTGGGTTAGGAGAAGCCCAGGGGCCCTGCGACCTCAAGGGGAGGGGGGCTTCTTCCCCTCCTTGGAAACTGTCTCCCTAACCCATTCCCCTATGGGACCCCAGCTCTGGCTCTCAGATTTCCATCAATGGAGTCTCAACCCTGTAGAGCCTAATCTCCTTCATACAGTGCCCCCAAGCCCTACAGGTGCCTGTTCTTTGGTGGTGGTAGGTGGGGGGGTCTCACCAGGGTGGCAGGGGTGTGCCCTGGGCCCAGGCTACATCTACAGTGGCTGTTGAGTGCTTTGCCCCGGTCAGCAGCTCTGAGGTCACATGCCACTGACCACTCCGAGACTTGGTGCCTAGAAGGGTCACACCCTTCTTGGCCTTCACCCTGGAACAAAGGAGAGGAAGAAGACAAGTCAGGCTGGAATCCAAAGTTGGCCTGCCTGGCCAGCAGCACTAAACTGGAGCTAGGGGAGGGGAATAGGTGAGCTCTATGATGAGGATATCTGGTATCACCAGGCCAAAACTTCTGAGGTTCAATAGGAGTTGCCATCTGCTCTGCCATGTTCTTTTCCCAGGCTTTGTCCAGACTTGAGTGCCTGAGTGACAAGACTTCTGCATATGTCTCAGACCTTCTTCAGGGAGACCAGAAGGATGTGTGCATTCCTTTTTCATAAATGAAAATGGTCCTGGGTTCTCCTGGGGAAAGGAAGGGCAACTAGTCTCCATCTTTTTGTGTGTGTGCTGGGGCTTGAACTCAGGGACTCAGAGCTTGTGCTCTTTGTTTGATGATTAACTGGAGATATAAGAGACTCACAAGTTTTTCTGTCCATGATCCTCAGATCTCAGACTGCTAAGCAACTAGGATTACAGAAGTGAGTCACTGGTGCCTGGCTAATCTCTGTTTTAATTGTGACATGTGTGTGTGTGTGTGTGTGTGTGTGTGTGTTACTAAGGATAGAAACCAGGGTCTCAAACACACTAGGCAAATGGTCTTCCACTTGAGCCATAACTCTAACCGTGTTCGTGTGTGTGTGTGTGTGTGTGTGTGTCTGTGTATGTGTGTGTGTGTGTACTAAGACTTTAATGCAGGGCTTCACACTTTTCACACTTTCCTTGACTTTTTTTTTGCTCTAGGCTAGCATTGGGCCACACCTCTACTTCTGTTTCTTTGCTGGCTAGTTGGAGAAAAAGAGTCTCGTGGACTTTTCTGCCAGGACTGGATTTGAACTGCAGTCCTCAGATCTCAGCCTCTTGAATGGCTAGGGTTATAGGTATGAGCCACCAGTATCTGGCATTGTTTGTATTTGTTTCTGAGACAGGGTCTCTCTAACTTTGCCCATGCTGGTCTTGAACTTGTGATCCTCTTGCCTTCTCCTCCTCCTCCTGAGTGGTAGGATTATGGATGTGAGCCATGGCACCTAGCTAATAGAGACAGTCCTTTAGATAACTAATAAGGAGATCTTGGCATCTTCTCCAGTTCTTCCATTTATTTTTGCCATGGTTTCAAATCACTCCATAGCCCAATTGCTATCTCCCAGACGCTCTGAGCACAGGAGAGGAGATACCCTGCACACTTCCGTTCTGCTCTAATTCACACTGACGAAAGCGGGATAATGCTTGCCTCCTAAAGTCTATACTCTCCACTCCTATTAGTGCAGCCCGAGATCTCTGATGACTGAAATAATTCCTACTCATGTTCAGCTAGCAAGCGTGGAATATCAGGCCTGACCCTTTAGAGGAATAGGGGAGCTGCACAGGAGAATGCTCAGGGGAGGGAGCAAGGCTTGATTCAAAGATGGAGGCAAATGGTGCGGATGATTCTGGTCCCACAAGCATACTGCTTGTGTGGGCCAGCATTCTGGTGGAGTCTTTTCTACATCTTTAAAATCCTAGAATGTGACTCAACCCCTTCCCCCAAAAGTAGATTTCCACTGTGAAATATTATGTATCACCATCATCCATACACTTCGAGGCATTTTTGGATATTTAAGGATTTGGGGATATACTTTAAGGAGTTTCTGAATTCATGAACTGGGTCCTTCAGAAGGTATAGAAGGAGCTGGGATCCTGAAAACTCTTCTCAACTTCGAGATGGAGCCATCATCCCAGCAGGCATAGATCCAGTTTATGTTTTGTTCAGCAGCCCCCGGGGACTGTTTCCTGACTTCAATCTCCTCCTGTACCACAGAAGAGCTGTACCTATTTACATCTAAGGTCCTGTCTGGCTGGGATCCTACCATTCTTGACCTCCTTACTTGTGGAAGGTGACATTCGATTCTGTTTCTAGGAGACACCGGGAGAGGCAGACATGGTGGTTGCCACTAGACAGGGAAGAACATCCAATGAACACTGTTTCTTGAGGTTGCTCAAATGATACCTGGGAAAACTGGGATGAGGATGCCAGCTGAATCAGGATCCAGGCTGGGACCCCTGCAAAGGGTCAGGGATCCATTTGACTACAGAGGAGAAGACAATCCCGCCCTTCCGCCCACCTCCACTTACCTGAGTGTGAAATGCTCCACGCTGGGGCTGGCGGGCGCTGAGGAGTTGGGCGCCAGGTAGAGGAGGATGCTGAGCACCTCGCCAGGCTTGAGTGGCCGATCCGGCAGTCGGATCATCAGGTTACTGTCCAGTCGGTGCTCCTGCACGGTCCTCCGGGGAGGCGGGCGGAACAGGCTGATGCTGCCGATGCGCAGGAGCGGGTGCTGCGTGGGGCTCTCAGCGCGCGCCCCTGCCCCGGATCCCGGGCCCCGCCTTGCGCCCCCGCAGCCTCCCGCCGCATCCGGGGCGTGCAGGGTGTAATAGAGCTCGGCCTGCTGGCTCTCCGCCGCCGTCTCGGGTTCCAGGCCGTCCGGGGACTTGCGGCGGGCGCTGGCAGGCACCGCCGGGGCTGGGGGCCCGAACCAAGCCAGGGGCAGCTCGGCGCGCACCAGACAGGTGGCCAGGCCTCCGCGGAGGCGACAGGAGCTCTTGACCTCGCGTGCGTCCCGGAAGGCGTGCAGACGGACGCAGGGCAGCCGCTCGGTGACCCCGAAGTCATCCCAGTCCCGGCCGGCCACGTAGAAGAGCACCTGCGCCACGGGCGCCGAGGCGGGCACGCGGGCGCGCACGATGAAAGCGCGCACCTTCCAGTTGACCGTCAGGCGCTCCGGGATGTCCAGGGTGCTGGATGGCTGCAGCAGCTCCCGTGCCACCGCCTGGCTGGTGCTGAAGGGTCCCAGGGACACGTTGAGGACCGGCAGCTCCTTGGTCTGGAACACCACGAAGGGCTCCGAGCGCTGCAGGGAACCGTTGGCCACGGCAGGCGATGGAGGGCGAGTCTCCCGCAGGAAGAAGGCCAGCCGCGTGTGGGACAGGCGGTAGCTGACAGGGAGCACCGGGCTAGCCTGCGACCCTGGGGGACTGGGACTGGCCGGGTGGGAACGGCCCGATGCTGGGGACACACAAAGCAAAAGAGGCTCAAGGGTCACGAGAGATGGCGTTGGGGTGCCCCAGCCCTTCAGAACCAGCCTGGTCCTCCATCATGGTTGGGTACCCTGCCTGGCGCCACTTGTGTTCACCACCCTTGCTTGGTTTCTTCACCGGCAACCCAGGGGTAAAGGGATCCCCATCGCAAGGCTCTGTGGGGTTCCTCAGGATTTCAAGACCCCCAAAAAGAACATAGAAAAAGCTTCCTGCCTCAGAATGGCTCTGAGGACTTTCCAAAAAAAAAAAAAAAAAATCTGTGCACAAAGGGCGGATCTTGGGCTCTCTCATCAGAAGGGCTCTACCCTCCCCTCTGCCCATCCCTACAGCCCAACTGATGTGTGCATGGTGCTTGGCCAGCATTGACTTATTTCATACTAAAATCAATCCTTACAGTAGGAATTATAGTCTCCAGTTCCTCATTCAATTATAATCTCCTGTCTGCCTATAGCTTAGAACTATTATTATTATTATTGTTATTATTATTGTGCATATCAATTCTGGAGGTTGAATTTAGGGCCTCACGCTCCTGCTTGGCATTTTTTTTTTTTTGGTTCAAGGTGGGTGCTCTGCTGCTTGAACCACCTCTCTGCTTCCTCCACGGTTTCTTTGAGGAGGGTAAGGTGGGAGGCGGGGAGAACTTTATCCTTACATCTTACCAATAAAGAAGCTAAAGTCTAAGGCACTTGTGATTTCCCCAAGTCACATAGGCAAAGGGTCAGCCACAGGATTTGAACCAGGGCCTCAGCCCTTTACAACACCAACTTTTTCAGGAGGTGTAGAGTGTGCTTCTCCCTTTCACCAAACATGATGCAAGCAGGAATTCTGTCCCTGGTCTCTCAATCCTACGTGTGGTCCTCTCCCCAGCAGTCTGGGAAGCTCCCAATTCTAATAATCCCACCTCTTCACTCAGTGCTATGTCCTGAGATGTCCTCTGCCCTCAGTTCTGGCCTCACTGATTGATAATGCTGCCTAACTGGGCTCTCCTTCCTCAATCTCCCTTTCCATGCTGGCTTTCCTCCTCCACACCCCACAGTAACCACAGTGTCCTTTTCTTGGGCACAAACAGGCCCTCCATGCCCAGTCAAGGACCAGAAAGGACTCATGAAGAAGGCCTGGAGGTGGTGATCCTTTTCAGGATCTTCTTAGGAGCTCTCTGAGTCTGGCCCTTCAACTTGAAAATCAGAGCAACAGTGACAGTCTCCTAGGATGCCATTTGTCATTTGTTTCTGTGTTTGAGAATCACATAAGCAAACGCTATAAATTCTGTAACACAATGCAAACACGGGCAGGTATTATTGAAGAATCTTTCCTCCCTGCTGACAGAATAAAACCCACATCTACCTCACTCCTGAGAGCAGCATTCAGGGCTGAGTGCCTATGGCCTCTGGGCTCCTCTTCTGAGCCTCCACTGGCCAAGTAACTGGATACCTCACTGTGGTCTTTGTTCCAGGTTTTATTTCCCTCCCTTGCTCCCTGCATCCAATTCTGTCTTCTTCCAAATCTGAATCTGGCTGCAAGGCCCAACTCCAACACTGCCTTCTACAGGAAGCCTTCCAGGATGTCTCAATGTCTGGGAATATCCTCAGATCTCTGTCCTTGGACACATGGCTTCACCTACTGCCTTGTGTTTGTTTGTGTGTGTGTGTGTGTGTGTGTGTGTGTGTGTGAGAGAGAGAGAGAGAGAGAGAGAGAGAGAGAGAGAGAGAGAGACAATTTCTATGGCCTTGCCCCAGGTCAGGCTACAAGAAATCACAATCAAGCTTTTGTGAATGACTGCCGACCCTTTGGTCCCAAAGAGGTGAGTTAAACAGTAGTAGGTGTTCGGCGCAGTTCATGCATATTTATCATTTTCTTGATGCCAATCCAACATTGGCAGTTTCCCAACCATCCACACCCAATTTCTCACGAAAGCAGTGAACTACAAAACCCTGTTCCCTCCTATTTAAATTCTACAGGGCAATGACCTCATTCAAAACAAAACGGTTGGCAGAAGCGCTTGCTAAGCATGTGAGAAGCAACGGGTTCTACCCCCAACATTGCAACAAAATAAAGCCAACTGAGCAAACAAAAATAAAACCAAGGCAATTGGCTTGGGGCCTAGCAAGGGCATTGGGGTCAGTTATGGGGGCACTGGGTTTCTCCTGAGTAGCCTACAAATGTCCCTGGTCCTTGGGCATGAGACAGACGGCTTCCCTGTTTTCAGGAGGCTGCAGGCCCAGGCCTGTCCTTCCTGCTGGAGTGCCTGCATGGGGCGCTGGTAGCTTCTGAGCTAGAGGAGGCTAGCAGAGTCAACTATGGGGTCAGGAAGAGACTAAGAGAATCCTTCTGACTTGTGCCTAGACTCCTCACCCCTGATGACCCCTCGAAGGTTCCAGAATGTATCTCTGCAGCTTGGGAGGCTGGCCCTAAGGCATGCATGTTGGGAACCCAGGCAAGATCCTAAGCTGGTACAGCAGCTAGTCATCTACATTGAAAGCAGCAGGAAGCAGGCAAAGAAGATGGGGCTTTGGGCTCAAAGTCATGACCTCTCCCCACCACAGACTCTCAAGCCTGGGCAAGTTGCTTCCCATTTTGAGTCTCAGTATCCACCTCTCAGACTGCAGGGTGACATCAGCTCCATCAATTTCCTAGAGGCAGTGACTGTGGCTGAAAGACCCAGATCAGCCCCCAGGAGCATCGGCACATACAGTGGGTTCGTTACTCAGACCCTGGGACTACACATCCTTAGGCTTGGAGAAGGGCAGCATACCATTTAGTGCCATTTGCCCCATCTCAGTATCCCAATTATATAGCCAACCATCTGGATCCCTTGGGGGGCACAGTGGGGACAGAGGTCACCAGATGGGCACCAGAGGCATGATGGGAAGGGACTGAGGAACATGGTTGCATGTTCTCTCTGCCTCCTAGAGTGAGGAGCTGCTCTGGTAAAATGAAGATCTTGGATTATCCAAACTGTCCTGGATGTTCCCAGAATCTGCTGAGCAAATACTTCTGCCTCAGGCCTCGAGTGTGGTGTTCCCCAGCCCGAAACTCGGTTCCCTTGACAGTGTGTCTTTACAGCTTTGTTCTGGGACCTGTGTCCTGGGCATCCCATCCAAAAGGGCATGTCCTTCTCCCCTTCTCTATCCATCCTCTTCCTTCATCGATTTTCTTTGGAGCTCTTTGCACCACCTAACTCTCACAGGCTCTGCTTGTATCTGTTGGCCTTCTGCAGGCCGCATGGCTCTGCTCCCTGCTCTAACTCCAGTGCTTTGAGCACAGCTTGATGCAGGATAGGCCCTCAGCCAACATTTACTGAAAGGATGGAATTCCCTGGATGAGCTGTCAACCCCACCTGGCCACCTGGGTGTGCTGTGGGGTGAGGAGTTCCGGTCTATGAGGGAGTAGACTGGGTGGTTTCGGTGGGCGGGGTGGGAGGCTCCTCATGTCCTCTTCCATGGAGTGTCTGAGTGGGGAAGTGTGAACACTAAGAAATCAGCTGATATTCAGAAAGAGAGCAAAGCTTGAGCTTGGGATTGGGCTATAATCTTAGCTACCAGGGCAGTACGGATCAAGGGAGGGAGGTTTGAGGCCAGTCCAGACACGGAAGTTCAAGAGAACTCTATCTCAATCAATGCCTGGGCACAGTGGGCACATACCTGTCATCCCAGCAACACAGGGAGCAAAAATAGGAAGATCGCAGTTCAGGCTGTGATCAGGCATACAGCGTGAAAAGAATCAACTCCAAAAGGGACTGGAAGTGTGGCTCAAGTGATAGAGCACCTGTCTAGAGAGCACAGGTGTGAACACCAGAGAAAAGGGGAGGAAGAAAGATGGTGTATGTTATTATGTCACCCAGGATTCTCATTCCCCACTGTGAACCACCTGTATCCTTCTGGGGCCCTGAGGTCCCTCTGTGGCAGAGCCAGGGGAAGCACTCATTTCTGTTCCCTGCTTGCTTAGTTTGCAGTAGAAAGGAAGTCGTTTGAAGTATTCAGGCCTCGGTTTCTCTAGGAGATGGGGAGGTGCGGTAGCCTTGGAAGCATTGCCCTATGGCTGGAGGGTGGCAGGGAGGCCTGGTAGATCACTCAGCAGGCAGGCCAGGTTTCCAGAGACCATGAGTGTAAATGCCTGAGTGTGTGAGTGTGTGTGTGTGACACATGTATGTGCTGACACATACCTGTACCTCAGCACAGAGCTCTGATCTCAAGATATCATGGAGTAAAACCTAAAGAGGAGAAGCAGCTGGAAGATTTCTTGAAGGAAGACAGGTGGAAGGAAGACAGTGGACAATCTACACAAAGAGAGAGGGGTCAAGCCAGGGGTGTGTGGAGAGAGAGAGAGAGAGAGAGAGAGAGAGACAGACAGACAGACAGATGGAGGGAGTAAGAGAGGAAGATGGAGAGAGGGGAAGGGAGGGAGGAGAAGAGGCTCAGAGGTGAGACAGGTTGGAAGTGGTAACTTGCACCTCGTTGGACATAACACAGAGGAGTTTCCCACAGCCTCCAGGCTGTGTACACACACATGCATACAAGTGCACACACACACACACACACACACACACACACACACAATACCCTGGTGCACCCCATGCCCTCAGCTCCACTGTTTACTGCAGTTTCCTGGACCGGTTCCTGGACCGGTTCTGAACCCTAACCCGCCCCCATTCCCTGTGTTTCAGCCCCAGCTCATGCACAGAGCAGGTCGGTCCTGCCTGCCTGTGGCTCCACTCTGCTTTGGAGTACATGTGTGCCCCTGGAAGACCCTCCCTCAGAGAAGGGGCTTCTCTGTATTGTTTCTGCCTTGGATGGTTATTAGGAGTTAAATCATGTCCCCATAGCTCATACTCCCAGGATCTCCGAATGGAGGTTTACAGATAAGGTCTCTGAAGAAGTAGTGGAGAACTGAAATGAGACCTGCGGTGTGACAGGTGTCTTTGCACGGAGGACAGCTGGACAGATATACACAGAGGGAAGCTGACGTGGG